AGGAGTCTCAGAAAATTGTTTTTTTTGTTTTTTTTTTTGGTTTTTTTGGTCCTCTGCAGACTTCTCTATTTTCTTGAGTGTTGTTTTCTCCTTGGGAGAAATGCACTTATCAACGCATCTGGAACTCCTGACAGGTCATCCTCTTATCTGCTGCATTCTGAACCTCTACATCTCATCTCCTTGGAACGTCAGAATTGAATATGCAACTTCTGAGCAATGTTTCACAAAAGATCTTCATTTGCTGGCTTCTGTCATTGAAGGTATTTTTCATGCATGTCCCTGCAGTAGTTGATGTCACTTCCATGTCATTTGATTCTTCCACTGCTAGATTTTGCTCTCAAATCTGATTTGCTCTCATCCGCTTCCTGACGTCTTCTTTGTGCTCATTGTCACCTACCATGGCACTTCAGCTTGGTGCAGGGGATGGTTTCAACAGAGACCTTGGAGACCAAGACGGGAAACTCACATTTGCCGAAGCAGTAGTCCAAGTCAATGGCCAAAAGCTTATTGGTCCCGAACGCAGGCCTTTGAAGTCTGATCGTCCTGTGGGCGATGTGACGATCGGTGACTTGCCTCTTCGCAACATGGACAGTATGGGCCACAAAGTCGAACAGTATGCTGATGTGATTGTCAATCACAAGCTCAATGTGACGCAGGACTTTTTGGACAACACTCTCTACCGACTGTGTGCGCAGGAGAAGTACAGTGAACTTCCACCTCCGTTCAACATGAAAGAAGAGCTTGTGTCATGTACTGGCTGGCTTTGCAGGAGCTCTCATTGATTGGGTGCGAGAAAGACATTGTCATTGGAGATGAAATCTCAGAGGCTGCGCTCCGCAAGTATGATGACTATGTGCACAAGGTTGCTTTCCCACCCAAAAAGAGGGCATCAGTGACTGAACTTGTCGGAGATGGTCACTCGAAGGTCCACATCAAATGTGGCGAAACTACCACACATGCAGGACGACCTCGGAAAGACGGTTCTTTGAAACCCTTTGGGCATGGATGGTTCATGCTAGTCAACCCGCAGGATCAACGAATTCTTTGTGTGGTTGCCATGGACAAGCCGGAGAACAACCCAGTGGTCCAGAAGTCGTTGGAGAAAGTCTTGCCTCTGTACCAGAAAGTCAATGGATTCATCATGGACCGTGTCTGTGGTTTCGCACCGACTCATGCAAGTAAGAAGTCCCTCTCCCAAATCAAATATTGGAGCCTTGACAAGTTCCACGCCCACAGGCACAAGAAGACTTGCGTGTACAATCCACTCTACGTCAAGCGTTTGTCTCGGCGATTTGCGAAGACAAATACGTCGGCTTGCGAACAAGTTTTCTCTTGGTTTCGCAATTATGCACGGATTTTGAATGAGGCACGTGCAATTCGCCACACTTTTAAGGTGCTGTACTTTTCCAAATTGCACAACCAAGCTGTGGCTGAAAACAAGGCCAGCTACTTGAACAAGTTCAAGAAAGCTGTGTCTAAGGTAAGCAAAGCATATGCTTGCTAGAACTAGATTTTGGAACAGAACTAGCGCGGAAAAATGAGATGTCTTAGCGCCAACTCCTTGCTTGCATTGTCTGCAGCAGATGATTTGACTGTGGTAGTATCCTTATGCATTCTTCCAAAAATCATCTTCTTTACTGTCATGCTGGCTCTGACAAAAGAAAGTAGAAACACATCTTGCAACTGCATCATCTGCTTCCAATCATCTGGAAATGCCTCACATCTGTACATTAACAAACAATAAGCTAGAAATCATTAAAAAACCTATGAATTAAAAACCCATCCCCCAGCGCAATCCGCTCTCTATATATATATATAGAGTTAGTAGCGGGTGTTTCAACGTTTTGCGTGGAACTTTTGACTTCAACCCTTCATTCAGGTATCCGCAGGGTTCAGCAGGATCCCTTCGTGCTGGGAAACCTTTAGCCCAAGGATTCTTTGGCCTGTTGACTGGCGATCTCGATTACTTCGCTAATGTGCTCAACCTTCCCCACTTTGCAAAGAAACAAGGATGTTGCAGCGTTTGCCGTTGCGATGAGAAGGCGAAGTCAGCTGGACTGACTTTAACCCAAATGCTGCCTGGACCAATAGCCATTGGACACGAGCAGAGTGGCTTGCTTGGCCGCAACGAAGCAAATGCCAGCTGTTCAACTTACCCGGAGCTTTCTCGGCGTTGGTTGCGTTAGATTTTATGCACTCGAAATACCTTGGCTCAGACCAACTCATGTATGGGTCTGTACTGACCTTGTTGGTGTTCCACATGTTGCCTGGAGACTCCGGAGGCAAACCTGGCCCGAATATGGCAAGGGATTCGAGCTTGGTACAACCGCAATCCAGTTCCTGTGCGTTTTCGATACTTGAACAAACTCAGCATGTTCGTACGCCAGAGCGGCTTCCCCAAGTTACGCGGCAAAGCCGCAGAGATACGTTACCTAGCAGGACCCATGCTAGAAGTATGGCGCCGCCACATGAACGAAGGAGTGCAACTACATCGTCGCGACTCTTCTTGTTTGGTGTGATTTTCTATGGGCGTTTGTGTGATATTTCATGTGATACTATACACAGGCCTTTGCAAAACATGTCCATATGCGTCTCACAGGAAACATTGCGCAGCTCAGGTATCGCGTTGATGCTCAAACTCAACTACAAGATTGAAACTCTCCTTACAGACTTTAAAGACCCTTCCCCGAACCAGCGGCCAGTGAATTCAAGCAAAACGCTTTTGGCATGTATGCCTTGCAAATGCAGATTATGAAGCACTTCTTGGATGAAGACCTTCAGCTTTTCTCTGTGACCAGCAAGAGCCACATGGTTTTGGAGTCTGTGCTGTTGTGTGACAAGGTGAGTCCTAGACTTCTATGGACATTTGCAGGGGAAGACCAAATGGCCAAGACCCAATTATTAGCCAAAGCTTGCGTCAAAGGAAATTCTGCAGCTCAAGCAACCATGAAAATGTCCCAACACTACAGGTTGGGGCTACACTTTGTATTCAAGGACCATGAGCTCCGCAGAGCTTAGGGGACCCTGTGTGTATCACCTGATGGACTGCGTGCTCAGGACTTCCAGTGAAAAAAACTGTTTGCATGCGTGCGCTGAAAATGCATCATACACGTGACAATGGAAGTGTCGGCGCAAGACTTTCATACTTGACCACTGTGAGAGACAATGAGTGAAAACCACCTTGGGAGAGTGTGCCACCATGAGTGCTCTATACAAAGACTCTTCTCTCATGTGAGAGAGAGAGGGCCTGACTAGTCTCAGAAGAACAAAGATGTATTGTGTGGTCCCTTTCTTCACTATAAACGGTTGATCTTTAAGTCAACTTTTGTATATTCTTGCAACTCTGTGTGTCCAAAGCCAAGACAGCACCCTGCAACCCTGCACATGGGCTCACAAAAGTTGTGCAAACATGGAGCTCACAAAGCTTCCAATTTCCAAACATATCGCTTCGAAGTTTCACCGGGGGCACTTCGAAGTTTGTTCGAAGTTTCCATATCTAAATTTACAGAAAATAGTTAAATTTTCAGAAAATAGTTAAATTTGTTTTAGCTAAATTTACAGAAAATAGTTAAATTTACAGAAAATAGCTAAATCATATTTTAGCTAAATTTTTAGAAAATAGTTAAAAGTTATATTTAACTATTTTCTCAAAATTTAACTAAAACATAACTTAACTATTTTCTAGGAATTCTACGTTTTAGTTAAAATTTTAGGAATTATCTAAAAAGTCTTTTTTAAACTAAGCCGGTCTATTGGGCAAAGTCGCCAGTTCTCATCTTCCAGCTCCCCAGATACTCCGCGTACTAAAGTTGTACTACCAAGTCGCCAGTTCTCATCTTCCAGCTCCCCAGATACTCCGCGCACTACAGTTGGACTACAAAGTCGCCAGTTCTCATCTTGCAGCTCCCCAGATACTCCGCGTACTAAAGTTGTACTACCAAGTCACCAGTTCTCATCTTCCAGCTACTCCGCGTACTCAAGTTGTATTACAAAGTCGCCAGTTCTCATCTTCCAGCTCCCCAGAGTTACTCCGCGCACTAAAGTTGAACTACAAAGTCGCCAGTTCTCAGCTTCCAGCTCCACAGCTTGCTCCGCGTACTAAAGTTGTGCTAGCAAGTCGCCAGTTCTCATCTGCCAGCTCCCCAGATACGCGCGCGCGTGGGACAAGTCGCCCTCTCGCCTGCTTTTCGCGCACTCGACACGCGCGATCTCCGCAGAGGGTTGCGC